CTCATTAGAACCCCTAATCCTACCCAAGGCGTAATATCCGTTCCCCATCCCCACTAACTATGCAAGCCATTGGTTGTCACCTCCAACTGGCCAACTCACAGCCTTCACAGACACGCTTTTTGTACCTTCCACAAAACTTTTTGTTCGAAGGTTCCGTTGTCCAAGATATACCAAACAGGGTTTGTTATACAGTTCAATTGCTGGTCTTCCTGCTGCGTGTTCCCCAGTAAACACCCCAACTTATATGGAGGGCTGTGAAACGAATGTGAGAGGGACGAAGAAAAAAAAGAGCCACTGGCGATGTATCTGCCCTTTGTGTCCAGGAATCCTACAATAGTGGAAAGTTTTGAAAGAAACCACAGCTTGAGACCTCAGGTGCTGGAATGTCGATACTCGGCCATAAAAACAAACCCCACGCATGTCTCTCGCACTGCCGATACAAACAATGATATCTATTGAACTCATTGCACCAGTTCTGCTATTTCACCTAGGGACCATTCCCTATTCTTATCCTGGCTAAGGGATGGGATTATCAGCGGATTAGCCCCGGCGGCAAGCCTTCACAACTCCCTTCATTCAAAGCCACCGATCGGTTATTGATTCTCGTGATGTTAAACGGTGCTGAAAATTTTGCTAAAGCTGTCTTAAGCGGCACCCTTTCTGACTTTTTTGCGCCCCTCCAGCAGCTCCAATCATTCAAAGTTGGTTAATCCCGGCTAAAGTCTAGGGCCCTTGACTGACTCCCAGCCAAGTTAAATACAGACGATTTGGGGCTTACTTCCAATTTAACGGCTTCTTGTAGGCGTGATTTTTGGCGCGATTTAACAATACCTTTTGATTAGCCAGGACAGGAGTGCTGCTGCTAGACCCCACGTACCCCCGCTGGGCCGCCTTGGACCCCGAATTAGCACCCGTAATGATACCATTCAACACTCCCGAATGCCCCAAACACCCCTTAAATCGAGCCGACGGATTACCTTAGCAGAGGGAGAGGAGGAATCATGTTGTAGTTTTCTTTTTTGACCACGATCACCTGCGATTATTTTTTATTCCGATACATCTTTGTTACTGTCAGTGTCTATATATAATGGTTGTACACCCTAGACTGGATGCCATATGACACCAATGGTACTTCATGGCAGTATCTGACTCTGTCACTGTCTATATGGATCCTGCATGTAGAGTCCATCCTATGTATGGCACCTGGTGACAGTTCCCTTGCGATGATGAAGTCGACAGGTTCAGACCTTTGAAACCGCGGGCAAATACCGTATATTCTTATACCGTATATACCGTATATTCTTCACAGTTCCACTTATCTCCCCTTTTATTTTTAAGTAACACCAATCAAGAAAAACACAAAATCTTAAGCCTTAGTGCAAGAATAATATTGGTTTAGGGTTATAAGATGGGGTCGTGAGCGACTGTGGACATTACATGTTTTTACAGATAGTCGAGGCGCTTATTCAAATAACTGTTAACATTGACTTGATTTTAATGTTTTGACGTAAAGATATGCAGTCAGAACAGTTCCACCAACTCCCTGGGTAGAGGACCCATGAATCTAAGGTTCACGATACCTTGGTCGTATCCACTCCAAAACAAATGCGCTACTCAACAACATTTTCAATATACAATGTACATGTACTCTTATTTTCTTCCAGAAAACCATACCGAGTTTGTCGGGTCTCTGAAATATAATTCGTCTTTTAGCAAAATGGAGACATTTTATGATTCATGCCGATGGAAACGAGATGACTTTTTCAGTCTAAAGGTTCAAGGATTGGCAAACGGGGCTAAAATGTGTAGATCCAAACATGGAAAACGTCAACAGTAACATGATGACAGCAGACAGCAAAGAAACATAGTCGTATGTATTCTCAGTGCGTTCTGGGCATCAAGGAAGGACTACAGTAGCCAGTACACTGGTACTGCTTACTGGTGGAACATGACTGTTGCAATCGTACGGAGTCCTACATTGGGTTATTGTCCTAATTTCTCCACCAGCACTATTCAAACACCATCGATTTGGGATATGATGAGTGATTGCACTACATGTTCATAGCGGCGTCGTCTGATGTCAAACTAAACCAGTGAACTGATGCTTACCACACAAAGAACATTGTCTAGTTCGACTAAGCTGTTTATTTATTACAGCAGGAGATAAAACCGTATGAGGCTGGCGTAGGTAACGCCGTTGATGTCACAAAAGCCTGTTACGCATGGTTGATGTTGAATAGGTACCCTGTTCTGCATGGTGCATAATATTAAGCCTATGAATTTGAATATAGTGAGTGTAACCTGTCTAGCATCAGTACCTGTAACTTTTGGGGGCAATTAATTTAGTTAAGCCCAATTTGCTTTTCAAGTGCATGGGAACCAAAATGCAGATTAGAAGGGGTCTGTATGGCAGACAATAATATATTGGTCTAAACAGGCTGTTATAGCATCGAATTGGCTGTTTGAAGGTAAACTGCTGTTCGCTCCGTGGTATTTTTGTTAGTTTCGATTTGTTTTGTCATAAATAGAAAGGATGTACATGTAAATACAGGGAGGGGTTGTCAGGATATACCCCACTTGTTGACTATGGATGGGCCGTGCTGAGATAATCCCCGTCTGACCATGGTCTGACCAATATCCTTTTGTGTAAAAACATCATATGAAAAGGCGATAATTCTCAAGTACAGTCGACTCCCGTTAATACTCCGTTTGTATGAGCAACGGTAGGCCGTAAACTTATGAAATAAAAATAGCTACAGCAAGGTGTTCAAAGTCAGAACCTAAACACACATCAATAATTGCCTTATACTCCTCTGCAGCTGGATGCAACAATGTCCCTTTTATATAGAAAACATTACGCTGACGCAATGCATAAATATAGGTTTCAGCCACCGGTGATATCTTTATTTGCCAAAATGCGACTGGAAAACGTCACTTCATCTTAAATATACACCAGCAAATAGCAGTTACACCGACAACAAATAAGTTAGATCAAAAGTAAAAGGAAACGCCAATTCGTACATCATATCCACATCTTTTCTTTACATGAAAATAACTGGTGCACGTTGTATGTCCTATGTACACGTACAATTTTTCAGAATAACATGACTGTATTTCGTTATACGGTTAACACATACGATGAAGATAATATCAATATCAACAATATATCGACGGTAAACAATAGTCAGTATAAGCACTGCGACAAAGTAATGACTTCAACGAAGTAATGTAAAGTGATATTGCGTTTTGGTGCCCTATAAAATATAAACATACAGATACATTTATAATGGAGTAAGCCTTGTTTATCTACGCAAATGCCGATTAAAAAAACTGTCCTTTTTTTCTCGAAGAGAGTTGATAGTACAGATTGTGATTAGAATATTTGATCATCGACATATTGCTTCGTTTGGTGTGTTTCATAGGAATTAAGCATTGCACATAAATATACCATCATAAAGTAAGTCCAGTGACGAATACCTTACAGGAAGCTAGAACGACGTATTTGATGATGTCACCACAAATTGACAAACCCTAGTTTAAACCGTGACGCAGAATGTACGGTTCGTAAGAATTTACCAATTTATAGCATCATCTCCGTCGTGGGTTGTATTTTTGGTTTTAGGTTAGTGATTTGCTCCTGCCAAATCACAAAAGACCAGGTTCATTGACCCATTCTCTCCAGACAAAACACTAATCTCTGGTTAGGGTCTACACTTTTGCCGCTGCTCTTACCCTCTCGCCTATCTAGTGGTCATAGTTACCTCACGTTCGCTTTCTTGTGATTCTTTCACACACAAAAAATGAACGGGGAATGGAATTGCCAACGATTGTAAAATGAACAGACGAATTCTGTGCGGGTAGCAAAGCCAAGCGGGTCGTCGTGTGATTAGACTGAAAGGAAACCCAAATTCGGCTGCTGCTTGTGCCGTCACGGTTCGGCTGGAAATCGGCCTCGCCGGCCGCCCTATTGGAACTTTATTCAAATTCATAGAAAAGGGAAAGGTCGTGAACGGATACAAGAAGTGCTGGCAACCGAGAGGAGCACACGCAAAAAGAACCCAACTCATCCGTGATCGGGCACAACGTACACATTATATTGCCATGTTTTCACTTTTAAAATATTGGGACAATTAAAGAATTAAGGTGGGATGAACAAAGACACAAATGTTATTACCAGCCCTTGTTTTTCTGAAACTGTGGAATATCTTTGAATGGGCCAAATGATATATACAAATAAGTCTATCTGAATTTACACAACGAAGTACATGTAATACCTTTCAATAAATAATGAAAATGAACCAAACTTTTTTATAATTTACATGGTGTGAGCGTAGCCACTGCAAGTACGCATACATGTACCTCCAAAAAAAGAGGGAAAAAAACCCGAATCATTCAAAATTGAATATAGTATATACTGGCAAGAAACAAAATATTAAAAACAACTTTGCAACATGGGGCTAAATGCCCGAGATTGGGTGAGATGCTTGATGCAGCCTCTCATACTTAACTGACGGGAAAGACACATCTTAAAAATAAAGCATTAAAATTAGAAAACATTTGAAGGTTTGAAACTGGAACCTTTGTGTCGGTATCTGTCCCGTTAAGTCCAAGATATTATGCATATGCCGGCCCAAAACCGTACAAGCATGTTGTAGCCAGCACAAATAGTGGATTTGTTATCGGGGCAACATCAAGCTAGGAATTAAGCAATGACGTCATATTTAACATTGCCTGCTTTGCATATCGGCATTTATAGGAGCTACTGTTAGCTGCCGACAAGTTAGGATCTCTCTCAGGCGTTTGAACTTCTAAAAGCCAAACTATACTTGAAAAGTGAGATTGGAATATATTATCCCTGATTTTTGATCCTGAAGGAGAGCCATGAATGAAAAGACCATTTTCACTTCAGTGTTGCTAAACAGTAGTAAAAGATTGACGAAAATCATACCTAACGTGTACACCAACATGCAGCAAGATACTCTAGATTTAAACAAATTGAAGCTCTACGTGATATCATCAATGTAATATGAATGAAAAATCGGAAACTATAGGTTCAATGTACATCTCTATGCAACCGATCCGAAAAACGGAGTGGTTTATGTTCAAAGAGTGTACTGATTCATGAAAAGGCCATGCGGTATAGACGGATTTCAAATCAGTTCTGAAACCGAGTGCCTTCAGTGTTCTCTTTTGTGGTTAGGATTAAACAAAGTAAAGGTTCGCAATACCATCAAAATGGCTAAGCACTCAGAACATTTCATTGGATTCTAATTTAAATCCGTCTATGCGAAGTCGAAACCAAACAAACATTTATACTGGATGGCGAGTTTTGTATTGCAATCGATATTTTCGTACTTCCAGCTTGCAAAAAATAAAATGCCGTTCATGCATTATTTTCGAAAACATTGTAGGCCCTAATTTGTAAAACTACTTGATGCTCATCATTATGTAAAACCCTCTTCATTACTTATGGTGGAAACGCAATGTATTTCAAATGTGACAATCTGTGTTAACCAAACGAAATTAATTGCACAAACTTAAGGCCTGGTGTGCACTGCGTAGTGAAGCAGGAATGTTCGTTTTTATTTTACCGTAAGCTCAAATCATGAACAGGAATTTTAACATCAAGCAACATTCCTGCACTAGATTTGAGGGCGACGAGCATCAACGTTTTCACAACTTATGAAATTCGCAGTGCCCCGTCAGTCAGTGAACGCATAGAGTATACATGTAGTCATGCGTGCAAACATGTAACTGTAGTAGTCGACTACACGTGCTGACAGTTGTTTCTCTGTGAATGAATTCATTTTGATCCAAACTGTATTCAAACCTTTGCCGACTGACACGCCATGTTGCTCCGTGGTTGCACTCTTTGGCCTGGATATTTGCTTTGAGTGCCTTGGGATCCTTCGTACACATCTATGGTCACATCTTCCTGGATAAACGGTGTTAATCCGCAGCAGGACTCGAACCTCCCATCATGACATTCCCTGTTTATGCTGAACACACTTTTCCTGTTTCACTAAAGCGCCTCTTTAATGTTGTAAAGGGGGTTGAGAAGTCAAGTCTCTCACCCTTCTGCACATCAGCTCATATTCCACGGCGAAGGTTTCAACTTCAAGTATTATACTGCACAATGGAAAGTCGATGAGTACTTAAAACGCAAAATCCACGTCAATCGCTGACGCTTAGCGAATCCATCCGATCCATGTGGCCGTTGGAACCGCCATGTACCCGGTCAGATGAATCCGGCGTTGGCGGTAAACTCATAATTGCAGAGTTATCGTCTCGCATATCCTTGGACTGCCCGAGGTTCTGTTCGGAAAAGTTAACCTGCATCCGAAAAAAGTAAAAGAAACAATACATAAATTGTCTATAAGTCATGGTCGCAATAATACATGCAATTTCTCAATTCACATTATTAACCGCAGTCTAAAGAGTTGAAAGCACATGGAAACGATGGGTTAATGAATAACAATTCAAATTTTTATAGAAGTTTCCAGCAATTTACACAATGTTACAGTGATTCATTTATTACTCCTGTTAAAAAAATGCCTAAAGCGTACATCAACAAGACACAAACTCTCAGTTATATAAGAAAGGTGTAAGGAGTCTTCAGTAAACTAAATGCAATATGTAACTACAGAGTTTGAAATAGATTGCCAGAGATTATAGGAAATTATGTGTGAGATGATAATAAATGGATGCGCCTGCGGCGAGTGAGCTAAATTTCACTGCCTGAGAGAGACGGCATTAAAAACTGCTAAGACGCAAGGCGAATCGAATGGGTAATCTTATTAAGTTATTGCCTGGTGAGAAATCATGAAGACGATGACCAAACAAAGTCAGCAAGTGATACTGTGAGTACACACTAGGCAGCCAAGGGAGAGATCCGTGGTGGAAAGACGCTGAAAATGAATCCCAGAGTTCGTGATTCCATCAAGAGTTCTGTGTGCTCTTCTCTTATACCATCTATCGCCGACCCAGCTTACAATACAGACAACAAAAATCAGTGGTCTGTTACTGTATTGATGTTTGCAATAGACAAGAAGGGGCAATGTAAAACATCGTCACAATGTCGGCAGATGTTTGTAATTCGATTATATATTTGATTGACAACGGGCAGTCCCTATTGACGAAATCGACAGTTAAAGTTGTGATGTCTAAACCACAGGAGTGAACAAAGCATGTAGGCCTAAACTAGTGCTTCGATTGTTTAAGGAGTACATAGGAAAATTGAATATTGTTCCAAAGAAGAAGACCCTGGTGCAAGACAGTTGATAAATATGAGGATGTTCTCACTTTATTTAGATGAACTTAACCTGCTGACCCAGTGTGAATATCGGTGTTTTAAAGAAAAAGCGATTTTATGTTCAAAGGTAAAATTAAAAAGTATACATTAACGCAAACAATGATATTTATAAATTTCATAATACAGACGCTGTTTCCTACTAATGAACATTGGTGAACGGTAGTGATCCCTAAAACTAAAGCCATTAACCAATTTCAAAGATTTTTTCGAATAATTTATCGAGGTAGGTTTTAAAAGTTCATGGTTGAAAGTGTGTGTCGTGAAATAAAAACAAAATCAAGACAGACACAAGGTAAGAAAGATTCAACCCCCCCCCCAAAAAAAAAAGATGAGAAGAAAGAGACAGAAAGAAAGGAAGGAAAAAAAAACACAAGGCTGAACGGATCGATAGAATGCAAGGCATCCCACCCCGGTAATAATAGCCGTCTTCTCTGGCTCCCGTAACGAGATATACTTCGGTAATGATGCGTGTTACACGCCGATCTGAAACGGACGCGAAGGGCCCTTGGCCCTGGCTATAGCCAAGACGGGGGAGAGATCTGTTACGGGGGTTGTGGGAGTCTAGGGTTCTCCCTTCCCTGTTTTTTCGGCCGTTCCTAAGCCCAAATTTCCGGCCGAGCGAGCACGGGACGTGTCGCCAACAAAACAGAGTCGCTCGGTGCAGCCCGTCATGGTCGTGTGAATGTAGAAAGAACTGGCTTGCGAGGACGGTACAGCAGCTACGAGGAGACAAGATGAAAATGTCCCCGTTTGTCATGCTATATAGCAGGAGTCTTGCCTTACACGATGACACGCCATGCATGCCATTCAAATAGACGTTGTAATGCACTTCGTACAATGACCCTCTGCCGAGGTTTTTTGTTATGCTTGGTTTTATTTTGCTTTACCCTTTTATTTATTTCTTTTTTTACAAACTGTACAGATTACTAGCCACTCTACAAATTTATTAGAATTCCCTGTGTCTAATTATTGCGGTTACTAAACCACACGATGAATACCATAACGGGTGCAGAGCCATAGGTATGATAGACACAATGCATCGTATATGCAGCCGATCTAACGTTCAAAACACATGCACACACGTAGAAAATATACCACATCATTAGCACGTCCAACGCAAGCTCCTCCACCAGAAGAAGTCATACCTCTTGACAGCTCATAGATACCAGCATTTCAAAATTCCCCCCAAAAGGTCTACGAGGTGATAACTACAGTGATGGCTAGTATAGGACACCCAAGTACATAGTATGTACATGTACATGGATATTGTGCAAAATGTGCATCCAGTTTGAGGAGGATGATACCAAGCCGGACTGACTGTAGAAACCAATGGGTATACGCAAAGACAGATTCCTGACTTACAAACCTGGCAACAACCAGCATCATAATGGGGAAGTTTTTTATTGTTAGGCAAATTAGGACCGAGTTATGGGGACTTACTGCTGCCCCATCAGCGTCTTCGGTCCCCATAGTACCATGGGACAACTCGTGTGTAGTCCCCACAACTACGGAACAAGTGTGCGTGTACCTGTGAAAGTGTGGAGGTAGTGACCAGAATGCAAACTTTGGTGTCATGGCCTCATGAACAGGACTGGGGTAATAACTGTGAAGCGCTTTGAGACATTTGGTATAAAGCGCTATATTTGCACCGCATTATTAGTACATGTATTATTATAATCATAATTTTATACGAAGAAAGTTCTTCTAAAGTGTACATGAATTAATTTTCATGAAAGATTATAAGGTTCTGACTGTCTGTACACATTTTCATGCACCAAGTATGTATATATTATCCAGTACTAATCGAGATACTTCAATACCTCATCATCGAAAGGTCATTTGTGAACATTGGAATGAATACACCCACACGCCAAGTGTAACAGGATATTGTGTCTCGAATAATGTAAACCATGCAACTTGCATGATGACATAATCCTGTTTTACACACCCAAGATATTAATTTCGTTGACACTGTATGCTTCATCCTTCATTCAAGCCATATCGATGTGGAAGTTTGACTTAGAAAGCGTGTCGTTAAACTCCAGCACGACTACATCGTGTGATGGAAATATCCCGACTACATAGAGGCCCACGTTGCAAATCCTTTTTTGCTTTGTGATGACCAAATGAATGGTTTCTCCACCAGTCAAGGAGACAAAGCGAGGCGAGATATACCCAGATCTAGACCATTGCCTCTTCCTTTTTTACATTAGAAATGTTCGTATGTACTGCTGTGCGTCTTCACTGTACAATCTGGTATATCCTCGCTGCATGTCGAGCGTTATCAGCCTTAGGGGAGAGTATGCGATAGGCAGTTCAGCAATCAGGACACGTACGGTAAGGCAGCAGCGGAACCACTCTACAAAGCCATGGGGACGAGGCAATACATTATGGACTACTGGATAGGAGGCAACTCGTAATCTGGGTCATTTTGTTTGTAAGTCACTATATACAAATACAGACCGAAGCCACCGCTACACTAAATATTCAAATTGTCGGTTTAGTATGCTCGTATACATTATACGGCCCTCAACCAAAACAAACGACTAACAACTAAAGAACGATGTGTTTAAGGAATGGACTAAAATTGAAATATTCCTTCAAAAAATTTGCTATGGAAGCGAAGAGATCGTCTTAGCCTATCTCGTTTGAATAGGCCAAAATGTAAAACTCTGTTGTAAACATAACAAAGATATACTGACTATTACAACTGCAATCAATAAGACGTTTGCAATATTTTGAATTACAAATGGCTTCGACTACCGAACAAATTAAAATCCCATTCTGATCTATATTTTCTACTCATGTCCTTAAAAAAAATCATCTCGATGGTGAAAAATCGTTACCATGATGGAATATTGCGATATCTCACAGCAGTGATGAAACATATCCAGATCCTCTGTGTAACCACGTGCCACACAAAAGGTATTCATTTCACATGCCATACATTTTGGCGGGATTCAAAAGCAATCTCAACGCTGATCATGCCATTCCAATTCCATCTTAGACTTGGCTCAAGTCTGATCCTGCCCGTCATTTGTGCCAATTACGCCACAATATAAATATGATGTTATGAGTTCTTTAAGATACGCACCCTCCCGGTCACGTTATTGTCCATGTTAGGAAACAAAGACTAGATAATGGTCAATCTGCCAAGTGTGAAAACATTCTAGTGAACTCATCCATACCATACTGGGTAGCGACCACCCAATTTTGCAGAAAACGGAGAATGCGATTTGTGTGGAGTCGAGGAGACGGCGCCGCCAACGTTGCCAACGTATCTGAAATGTATTTCGATCTCGCGAATCAAGCACTGATAAAGATATTACGAAGTAAAGAGAACACAAGGCTTAGCTAGCTCTGTCCCACATACACAGGCAGCCATTAGAAAGCTTGCCACAGCTTTGCTATGGTACTTTAACTGACTGGTAAATTATCAAATACAATAATGGTAAATTATGGCATTAACATTGTACACCAATCCAGGAGCCTACACAAAAATGGTGGTCTGAAGACAATGGTGGAAGTACTGTGTAAGCTATTGTACAGTAACAGTGTGCCATCCATGACGGTTAATATACTCTGAACGATAAACGGACAAACGCTTTCGCCATGAAAGGGCCCAGCTTGAGCATATTGCGACAGGAAAATGAAAACAAAAAAGTGGGGTGTCGTGTCGGATCTGCTAAGTAGGATTTAAGAATACTGAGCACATGCATTCATTTAAATGCACATGATGTACATGCTCGTATGGACTGACCTTGGTCCTCAGGCCGACATGTGAGGACAGCGTACATGTTTGGGATTCTTAGTCAAATCCGACTTGAGTCAAGTCTAACTTCATCAAGGGAAGACGATACGTCCGGCATATTGTGAGATCACACAATCGGTCCGCGGACGAAACGAGTGGTCGTGTGTCAGTGGTACGGGTATGTGTTTATTACAACACGAGTTAACGTCTCATTTTTCTTCCCTTGATGAATGGAAAGTATATAATGACAAGAGAAGTGGAAGATTGGGT